CTTACCCAGTAGGAGAAGAGAACCCCGTTCTGAATTCTTTCTCATTTTACGCGCAATCCACTACCCAGTAGAGTAGTTGGTGTCAGAAGAAACCGAAGCACAGTACTTCTTAGCCCGCCAATACAACCTCCTAATTTCTTGATTCTACTTGACTGTCTACAAAAATGATAAGGCGCGTTTTCATTTGGTGCCTCTATTTGATAGCTCTGTTTTTTTTGTACAAAAATGAATTGGCTTCTTGTTCCATAGACAACAACCAAGGAGTAAGTGAAGACGGAGAGATGGCCCCCCTCGATGCATCACGTTTCAGCCCGTGCTAGAGAGGGAGGCAATCCGGTTGTCATTTCCGCTGTTTGGCTGTTTGCCCATCTATATCCTCCGCATCGTGGTAACCCTTTTTATCCTTTCCCCCCCTCCGTAGAAGGAGAACTACCTGAACAGAACGATTAACATCTTAAACGCCGGGAAGAATGTAGCCAAGCGATATGGACATAGTCAGCTGAAGCCCGTGCACATCCTGAGCGCCCTCCTCAAGAGCGACTATGGTATGAGAGGAGAAATGGAACGCGGGAGAGCGGTTCAAAGCGGAAAAATGTGCACAGAAGCAATGTGAAGAGAATCAACACTGAATGAAGCAAAACAAATCTCCTGCCAAATCGCCTGCCAAATCGCCTGCCGAATTGAGTGTCCAATTTGGCGTCCAATGGGGCGCCGTTGCCCCAAGTGACCCTATTGATGAGAAATACTCACTGCCGCTTACCCCCCTTTCTTACTTCCCACACACACAGGCGCAAACCTTATGAAGGAAAATAGCGTCAATGCGAGTAACATGAAGGAATACATAGACACTGCCCTGGAGCAGACTCGGGCTGGAGCGGTACGACTAACGATGCGGAGAACTCTCGCGGGGTAGCGGCCCACGTGTAACGCCCATATAACTGCTTCCCCCAATCCAACTTCTCTCCCCCATTGAACTTCTTCCCCTTCTGCAGCCACTGGATAACAAGACCAAAGTCGTATACTCTGACGAAGTGAAGGAAGTGCTGGCTCAAGCGGAGGCGCTGGCCAATAAGTACAAAAGCCAGAAAGTAGACGTGGAGCACCTGCTGAGCGGTTTAATGAGTGACGAGCTGGTAAACGAGATCATGAATGAAGTGTACCTTACGGAGGAATCCGTGAAAGGGATATTAAAAAACAAATTGGAAAAAACAAAGGATAAGGATGGAAAAAGTGGAGGATTGTACATAGAGCAGTTTGGTTCAAATTTGAATGAGAAGGTACGAAATGGGAAGTTACAAGGCATATACGGAAGAGATGAAGAAATCAGAGCAGTGATAGAGTCTCTCTTAAGATACAACAAGAACAGTCCCGTGCTGGTCGGTCAACCCGGAACTGGTAAGACGACCATCGTCGAAGGATTAGTGTATAGAATCGAGAAAGGAGATGTACCAAAGGAACTTCGAGGCTACACAGTTATCAGTTTAAACTTCAGAAAGTTCACTTCGGGGACCTCCTACAGAGGAGATTTTGAAACGAGGATGAAAAATATCATTAAGGAGTTGAAAAATAAGAAGAATAAAATTATCCTCTTTGTTGATGAGATTCATCTTCTGTTGGGAGCGGGAAAAGCTGAAGGAGGAACAGATGCAGCCAATCTGTTGAAGCCTGTCTTGTCCAAAGGAGAAATCAAATTAATCGGAGCTACTACCGTAGGAGAGTATAGAAAGTTTATAGAGAGCTGTTCCGCTTTCGAAAGGAGATTTGAGAAAATCTTAGTAGAACCACCCTCCGTGGAAAACACCATTAAGATATTAAGATCTCTCAAGAGCAAGTACGAGAGCTTCTATGGCATACACATCACAGACAAAGCGCTAGTCGCCGCAGCGAAGGTGTCGGATCGATTTATAAAGGACCGCTACCTACCCGATAAAGCAATCGACTTGCTCAACAAAGCTTGCTCGTTCTTACAAGTACAGCTGTCTGGAAAGCCCCGTATTATTGACGTGACCGAGAGGGAGATTGAACGATTGGCCTACGAAATTAGTACACTCGAGATGGACGTCGATAAGGTTTCAAAACGGAAGTATAACAATCTCATTAAAGAGTTCGAAAATAAAAAGGAGCTATTGAAGAGCTATTACGAAGAGTATGTCATTTCGGGAGAGAGACTCAAGAGGAAAAAAGAAACGCAAAAGAGATTAAACGAATTGAAGGAGCTAGCACAGAATTATATCAGTGCGGATAAGGAGCCACCTATCGAGTTGCAGAATAGTCTGAAGGAGGCGCAGGAGAAATACATGGAAGTGTATAAGGAAACCCTAGCTTATGTGGAAGCCAAAACCCATAACGCTATGAACGTAGATGCAGTGTACCAGGAGCATGTTTCGTATATTTACTTAAGAGATTCTGGTATGCCACTCGGTTCACTCTCCTTCGAATCATCCAAAGGGGCACTGAAACTGTACAATAGTTTATCCAAATCGATCATCGGAAACGAGGACATCATAAAATCTCTCAGTGATGCAGTTGTCAAAGCGGCCACAGGTATGAAAGATCCGGAGAAACCCATCGGAACGTTCTTATTCTTGGGACCTACTGGTGTGGGGAAAACCGAGTTAGCTAAAACGTTAGCCATTGAATTGTTCAGCTCGAAGGATAATCTCATCCGAGTAAACATGTCCGAATTTACGGAAGCACACTCAGTGTCGAAGATCACAGGTAGTCCACCAGGATACGTTGGATTCAGTGACTCTGGTCAGCTAACCGAAGCAGTAAGGGAGAGACCCCACTCTGTTGTCCTTTTCGACGAGTTAGAGAAGGCCCATCCGGATGTGTTCAAAGTGCTACTACAAATCTTAGGAGATGGATATATTAATGACAATCACAGGAGGAACATCGATTTTTCCAATACCATCATTATTATGACCTCCAATCTTGGTGCCGAACTATTTAAGAAGAAATTATTTTTCGATGCGAACAATTCAGATACCCCAGAATATAAGAGAGTCTTCGAAGATCTGAGAATCCAGCTCATCAAAAAGTGCAAAAAAGTGTTTAAGCCTGAATTTGTGAACAGAATTGACAAAATAGGCATTTTCGAACCTTTGAGCAAAAAGAACCTCCGTGAAATTGTCAAGCTCAGATTTAAAAAATTGGAGAAACGTTTAGAGGAGAAGAACATTCACGTGTCTGTATCGAACAAGGCCGTAGACTACATCATCGACCAGTCGTACGATCCTGAGTTAGGAGCCAGGCCAACTCTCATTTTTATCGAAAGTGTTATCATGACGAAATTTGCCATCATGTATTTGAAGAAGGAGCTAGTGGACGACATGGATGTGCACGTCGATTTTAACAAGGCCGCCAACAATTTGGTCATCAATCTGTCCGCGGTGTGAAGCAAACAGGGATGAGTCTTCTGCGAGGCGTTTTAACGAAGCGTTTTAACGAAGCGTTTAGCGAAACATACTGGCGAACCCTTTTTGCGAAGCCTTCTTGTCCAATTCTGATTCCTTTCCCAGATTACTTTGCTCTTTCCCTTGTTTTGCCCGTTACTTCTTCTGCTTCTCCTTTTTCTCGCGCCGCACACACGTTAGCCAGACGGCGCAAGCGTATTGTGTGCCGATTACCATAAAGGCGTTCGACTGGGGCGACGTAGACGCGCCAAAAGCGGGAGAAGTGTAAGTCAACCCGTTTAAAGTGTAGAAAGGAGGGGGCCAAAGTATAAAAACCGAAGTAGAGACACCGGACTGGTGTCGAAGCCGATGCGGAAGGGGATGCCAACCCGCGACTCCTTTTTGGTGAATTTAATTCCCCCGAAGCACCATTATCACCCCCGCGATGTTTTGCGTTCACCTTGATGTGCACTGCCTATTCGGCCCTCGAGGCCCAATTTTGCCCATTTTGCCCAATCTGCGCATTTTGACAATTTTGCTCAGTTTTCTTTCCATTTGATAAGACGTGGAAGGCGTCCCCTTGTACCACATACATAGCTGCAGCATGCATAGCCGTATTTCCTTTTTTAAATTAATTCCATTGTTTACGTGTGTGGTGCCTCCCTGTGTGTGTGTTTTAGTGTATGGTTAGTACCGTTTTTACCCCTATGTGCACATACGCATTACACTTTTTTTTTTTTTTTGCCTAATGTTCTCTTCTAATTAATTCTTAGTGTAGCTTTACGTATGTTTATATGAACACGCTCTGCCTATATTTCCACTCCTTTATTCTTCATAGCCCCCTTTTTAAGTCTACATTATTTATTCATTTATTTGCATGTGCGAGGTGTTCTTTTTTTTGTCTTAATTCATTTTGTCTAACTTTTTACAAGTAGAAATTTTGACCCTTTTTAATTTTTTGAAATTCTTTTAAAAATGGACGCAGGCGGGTAGGGAGCGACCTGCTTTTCCCCCTCCCCAAGTATACATATATAATATGCTTTGGTGAACGCGAGTTGACGTACCTGTCCAGGTGTCTTCTTTATGTTGTCATCGTTGAGCAGCGTTAGGGGAGGAATCACGCTAGTGGTGGTAATTTTTACTGGCTGGGGTTATAAACCTTCTGTGCGCCTGCACATTGTTCCCATTTTTTCCCACCGAATTGTTTTCGAATTGAGAGCGGTGTCTTTCCCGGATGCACTACACACTTCAGTAGAACTTTTTCACCAATCAGAGGAAAATTATAAAAAACGCTTCGGAAGCAGACCAGGTGATGTGCAACAGTTTGTGGGAACAATTACGCGCCGTCTCTTTTCCTCGTGGGGGCCGTTTTTTGGAACATCCCGCGCAACGAAAAGGAGGAGAAAATGAAATGCCGTTGCTCTTTCCTTCATGCCGATGTGAGCACACGGGTGTCAAACAAATGCGCTCCATTTGGCTATTCCTTCAGGGAGCTCATTATACGGGGTGGAAAATGTTCACCTTCCTTTTTCAAAGACGAGCGCAAAATTGTCGTGGTTGATGTTCTCATCCACCATGCGAAAGAGAACAGCTTCTTTTTTGTTTCTGAAAACGTGTGATAGCATTCGTCACAGCTGTTTTGGTTAATTCATGTTTATTTGCATGTTTATGTTTTTTTTTTTCTCAAATTGCCTGACCTGTTAAGGCAGTTTTTGCCAATTTTACAGCTGAAGACATTTCCGCATGGGGGAAAAAAAACTCCAAATGGTATGGTGTAGGCCCCCCAAACCCACTCTCATCGCTCCTGTTTACGCAAATATCAAAAACGAATGGACCAAAAATGAAGGGACAAAAGATACGCGTAAAATGGTGAATCCTTTCTCCCCAACTTTGTCTCATATTCCTTGTGACACAATTAAATTGAACAATTCGCTTTGGAAATTTTAAAAATTTGCAAATTTTAAAGTGGAAAAAAAAAAAGCCACATTTTTTTTTTTTTTTTAATAGCTAGCTAAAATGTTTTACACACCATTCCCTCTATAGAGGGGTAACAGTGCACGGAAGAAAGGGCACCAAAAAAAAGGCGCAAAAGAAAACGCAAAAATGAGAAAAAAAAATCGTAAATTGGCAAACGAAAAAGCTGAACAAAAGGACAGAATTGTACTGACGTTTTTCCTTTCCTGCCTTGCGCCAAATGAGGTAAACTGAGCGAATGACCCATCGCGCTATCAAACGGGCGAACGGACAAAAGAAGAACAAACGAACAAACGAGCGAACCTGCATGTGTCAAAGTTGTCAATTTATTCGCACAACTCGTACTGTAACGTTCTCATTCTGTGTATTTTTTTCCTTTCCCCTTTTTTCGTTTATTGCTTCCTTTTTGTTTTTTCCTTTTTCTTTTTTTCCGTTATGCTGACTGCGCGAAAATATGCGACAGCAGATGTGGAGTCACCCAACCATGCGTATACGTTCCTTGATGTTACTTTTTTTTTCTGTTGGCGAAATTGGCGAAATTGGCGAAATTGGCAATGGGCTAAATTAAGCAAGCTCCTGAGCTCCCCCCCCGCGCTGTTTTGTGCTTTATTTTTTTTTCTTCTTCTCTTCCGTAATGGAAGGAAGTACGTAAATTTTGCCGAAATATGCAATTATAAAAACGTTTAAAAAGAAATAAGAAAAACGGCACATGGCAGGCAGAGAGCCCATAATGCTTTATTTTCACCATTTATGTTGTTTGCATTTTTTTTCTATTATACTAATGGATTAATTTCCAAATCAGAAATCCTGGCTGAATGATTCCTCCCCACGGCTGTTCCCCAGTCTGTAAGAAACTCACGCACGATCCATTTCGATGAAAAATAACATCACGCAGAGGGAGAAAATTTGAACGAAGCAGAGCGAAACCACGCGCGTGGGAATTCTGTGTGATTGACCCCCCACTGTAAAGCAGTAATATAGAGGGGTCCTGGCTGCTGCACTATTTTATTTTCTACCTTCTTTATATGCCATCGTATGAACGTTCACTGCGAACTCCGGAGATCATATTTTCTAAATTCAATTTTACCATTCGGAGCGCCCGCGCATAAAGGGGTTCCTGTATGGTATAAGAAGGTAGAAATATATTTCAAGCACCGACGTGTAACATTATCCATGTATATTTCCGTATGTATCTGCATATATATTAAGAATGTATATAATATTATGTATGTACGTATGTATGATAATCTAAGGGGACCACCTCCCTGACCATGTGTTCGCCACTCCGTAGGAGGGATATATATTTAAATATCTCCCCTTCCCCTTCCGCCCAAAACGACTGTTTTAATAAAATTTGAAGAAAGCAAATTAGTAAAGGGAAAGCCACCTTTCTCTTTTTCTCTTTTTTCTTTTTTTTCTTCCGTGGCACTAAATTGAATATATTTTTTCTTTTTATTTCTAATTTTCTCCAACAGGATTTTTTTTTTCTTAATTTTCTCCGACTAAGCATTTTTTTCTCCTTTTTTTTTTTTCTTAATCTTCTCCGACTAAGCATTTTTTTCTCTTTTTTTTTTTTTCTTGTGCAAGGGCAGGTGACAACATCGTGACGTGGCATTCTCTAGTACGCCTCCGTCGCCAAGTTATTTCTTTACACTCTGGACATGTATGTTTTTTCGGCGCGTATGTGTTTGTTTATGCTTGATTTCACTGAACAACCCACATATACGTTTTTGTGACAGATTAGTTGCGTTAACTAATTCATCACGTTGTTTTTTTCCTCTTCTCTATCCTAAAAATGGGAAGAGCAAGGAACATTTTAAGCTTCGGCTTAATTCTGCTGCATACCATTTATGTACATCTGACCGCGGCCGATCTGCCGACACATGTAGAGATTAGGAACCTGGTGGGGAAATGGAAAATTCAGAGGACACAGACGTCTCCAAAGATAACCACCTGTGGATCCAGCCAACCAAACAATAACGTTTTTAATGTAAAAATTACAGACTATAAGAAGTATCTTCTAGACAACCACTACAAGTTTACCTCCGATTTGTATGTCATTTTGTCTGACGATTTTGTGCCATATGGAGACATGCACGACACGACTGGCAATGAACATCGAAAGAAGTGGAAGGTACTAGTTGTGTACGATGAGCATAAGAGGAAGATAGGCACATGGACTACTATCTGTGATGAGGGGTTTGAAATTAGGTTAGGAAATGAAACGTACACCGCGTTCATGCATTATGAGCCCACTGGCAAGTGTGGAGAAGCCAAGGAGGATGACCAGACCGATTCCAATGGAGAGACGGAGTGCTACGTCACGGATTATAACAAGATAAGATTCGGCTGGGTGGACATATCCAAATCGAAGGATGAAAAACTGTATGGCTGCTTCTACGCAGAGAGGTACCGCGTATCCGAGGAGCCTTCCAATGGAGTCCAGTCACCCCACAACTTCGCCACAGAGACGACGATCAACAGTGTCCTCAATGTACATAACTTTTTGTACCCCTCACTCTCCGCCGCTACCTCGAGTATGAACGATAAGCCCCTTTTCACCAAGAGGAAGAATATGCACATTGATCAGAACAGCGAATTGTACTGGCATAAGATGAAGCACCACGGGAAGAAGAAGCCCCTAACCAGAATGATGCTCATGAATGCAAAGCAGAGGTATGCCTGCCCCTGCAACAAGGACGAGCATGTACAGGACGAAGTGAACAACGGGGATAATCCGGAACAGCCCGTTTCGCCTGTGTCGCTTATGCAGCTGGGAAGTAAAACCAGGGAAGACGGAACGAATGAGATGGACCTGGAAAACTACGAAGACACGGAGAAGTCCCCCCACGGGGAACTCGAAATAGACGACCTGCCAAAGAACTTCACCTGGGGAGACCCATTTAATAAAAACACCAGAGAGTACGACGTGACGAACCAGTTGCTATGTGGCTCGTGTTACATCGCTTCCGAGATGTATGTCTTTAAGAGGAGAATCGAAATTGGCCTCACCAAGAATCTCGACAAAAAGTACCTGAACAATTTCGACGACCTCTTGTCAATACAGACGGTCCTTTCATGTTCTTTCTATGACCAAGGATGCAATGGAGGATATCCTTACCTGGTGTCCAAGATGGCCAAGCAGCAGGGTATCCCCCTGGATAAAGTGTTTCCCTACACGGCCACGCAGGAAACTTGTCCATATCATATAGACCAAGGTTTTGTAACCCCCGCACCGGGTAGTGACCCCTCCAACAGACCTACGAACAACTTGAGACAAATAAACGGAGTCATATTTGGGAGACGAACAACGAACGATATGAATGAGCATTTTGAAAACCCCATCAATGATGACCCAGACAAATGGTACGCAAAGGATTATAACTACATCGGAGGATGTTACGGATGCAATCAATGCAATGGAGAAAAAATCATGATGAACGAGATTTATCGAAATGGTCCCATCGTTGCTTCCTTCGAAGCGACGCCCGATTTTTATGACTATGCTGATGGGGTTTATTACGTTAAGGACTTCCCCCACGCAAAGAGGTGTACCGTGGACGATACAAAGCTTAACTTCGTTTACAACGTCACGGGATGGGAGAAGGTGAATCACGCCATTGTGCTAGTCGGATGGGGAGAGGAAGAAATCGAGGGCAATCTGTACAAGTATTGGATTGGCCGAAACAGTTGGGGCAAGACTTGGGGCAAGGAGGGCTACTTTAAGATAATCCGAGGCGTGAACTTCAGCGGCATCGAGAGTCAGTCCCTCTTCATCGAGCCCGACTTTACGCGTGGCGCGGGGAAGATCCTTCTGGAGAAGCTCAAAAATGAGTGATCCATCTTTCGCGCAGGAGCGGAGGGAAGTGGAGACGAAGGAGAAAAGGTGACGATAAAAATAAGCGCAAGGGAAAGCACAAGGGCAAGAGCAAACGTAATCCTAAGCGGCATCGTCGGCGATATGGTTCTGGACCTGCCGATCGATTAGCCTGCTGCTCTCCCCGCTTAACGCCTATCTCTATGCATCCAATTTTTACATTCCGTCTTTTAAACCGTAATCGCCATTGCCATCGCGCGGGGTCCCGATCGGCCTCGGCCTTGGAGCGTCTGCAATGTCTGTGCGCGTGTTGGTAATAATTTCTGTGCAAGCGCCTGCCACACGGCTGCAGATCTCCTTTTTCTTTTTCTTTTTCTTTCTTTTTTTTTTTTTCTTTTTAATGACATTTAACTTTTAATTAAATTTTTAAAGACCTTCTTTTAATCCCGTGGCACCTGGTACCTGTGCTTATCGTTAAGGGGGAACAGTCCCTAACGGGGAAACGGAGCACACATAACTTCTTCGCCCCGTCACTGCAAAGTGGTGTTAGAAGTACACACAACAGGAGCAGAAACGACAGCCGAAGCAACGACCACAAGAACCTTGTTTGAGGAAAGGCCAACGTTGGGCGATATCATAACATAACCTGCTGCCTCCTAAACCCCCACCGTGGCAACGCTAAATGGCATGCGCACTAGAAGAAGACACTTGACATTGCGCATCGAATTGTGGTAGCCTCTCAATTGTTCCTCCCCCAGTGAATGGCGAGAACTTTGCCGCGTTCCCTCTCCGTGAGGGCACTGTCCCAATAGGAATAAATCGTTACTCAAAGGGGGAAAATAAAAAAAAAAAAAAGAAAAAAAAAAAAAATGCCAGACTTGTTCACCTGAGGAAGACTCCACAGTTTGAGGTCCCCCCCAAAAGAAAGGTGAAAACCCACATGGCACGTTCATTAGCGAAGGAGCAGAAAAAATTTCCCTTGTTAGCCACGCTCCATTTATGCAATTGCCCTGTTCAACATCTTTCCATTTTTTGCGTTTAGTTCCAAGGAGGGAGAGCTTTGCTCATTTGTAAATATTACCAAAGGAGGCGAAAGAAAAAAAAACATAATTCAATATAAAAGAAACAGCCCCTTATTACATTATGCATATTTAAGGGGTTACCATTTCGTACCTCCCCGCCCGCTGGAAGATGGGCTTCCACTCTACAAATAAACATATGCACACCTGTTGTGAGTGCTTCTTGGCACAATGGCTGAGAGGGAAGCGGCTCCAGACGCGGACAACATGATCGACCTGGGGCTGAAGCCCCAGTTCTTCCTAAACCGCCTGCTGCATGGGGTATTCTGCAGCGACACCTTCCGACAGGTGGGGTTAGCGGTGTGGTGGTTGCTTCTACCAGCGGAGGGGTTACTGTTCCACGTCCTCTTCCCATGATTCGCTACTTCGCGTATCATTGCTGCGTTGTAGTGAATGCTTATCAGATTTTACCACTTCGTTGCTTGCTCCCCCCTATTTGCAGGCCATGAAGAATAGAAAACGAAGCCAGCGTAAAATGGAAATCTTCATCCTACTGCTGATCGTGTTGCTGAGCTTCCTCCTTCGTCTCTTCTCAGTCATCCGAAATGAAGCAATCATACACGAGTATGACCCCTACTTCAATTATAAGTTAACCAAAATTTTGGGAGAAAACCATTTTTACGACTTCTGGGATTACTTCGATGCAAAGTCCTGGTTCCCTCTGGGGAGGACAACAGGACAGACGTTATTTCCCGGATTGATGTTGACGAGTCATCTGATTTGGAAGCTTTGCCACATGCTTGGGCTGCTAATCGACATAAAAATTGTATGCATATATATTGGACCCCTATTCAGTTTCTTAACCTGTATAATGACATACATTCTGACTGCGGAAGTGTATCCTTTTCGAGGTGCTGGATTAATAGCAGCTCTGTTTGTTTCCATGTCGCCATCCCATGTGTCCAGGACCGTTGCAGGATCGTATGACAATGAATCCATCGCGATATTTTTACTCCTTCTATCTTTGTATACCTGGATTAAATGTTTGAAGGAGGGTACTCTCCTCTCAGCTCTTTTCTCCTCACTCAGTACCTACTACATGGCCCTCTCATGGGGTGCCTATATTTACATCACCAATTCGATAAGCTTATACATGTTAGTGATCCTTCTGCTGAAGAGGTACCAGTTAAAAAATCTCATCTCCTTTAATGTGTATTATGTCTTGACAAGTATCCTCTGCCTGAACATTCCCTGCATTGAGAGGTCCGTTTTTCTAAGCATCGAGCACCTTAGCACGCATGCCATCTTTGTCTTAACGAATGTTCTACTCCTAGCTCGCCACGTCATTGTCTACCTCAGAGTAGACAAATCGAAGTTCCAACGTAAGTTCGTACAAATGTGCTTTCTCTTTTTTTTTTTCATTTTTAAATTTCTAATCTTTACACATAATAAGCTCTCATGGAATCATAGATCAAGAACGCTACTAGATCCTACTTATGCAGCTAAGCACAATCCAATTGTTACTTCCATTTCTGAGCACCAGCCTACCACTTGGTCTTCCTACTTCTTTGACGTGCACCTTGTTTTGATTTTTGTTCCCATTGGACTCTACGAATGTATGAAGAAGCGAGCCCGGGTTGAAGCGTTCTTCTTGGGTATCTTTTCCGTCCTCTGTTTGTACTTCTCCGCCCTCATGGTTAGACTGCTTCTCATATTTGCTCCCATCGCGAGTGTCTTGAGTGCCATAGGGTTGTCCTCCCTGTTGAGTCGCTACGTGCGCTTCCTGCGTGTGTGTCCTAGCACATACAGGGCGTCTCTACTCTTTGGAAGGGAGGTCCCCCACGGGGAGGGCTCCTCCTCTGAGGGCAATTACACATGTGAAGAGGCATCCCAGGGTGAAGAAGCATCCCCGTGCGAAGAGGCTTACAGAGGTGAAGATAATTATACAGATGGGGAGGGCCGCTCCGATGGGGAGAGCGATGTGGCGAGCCAGGCCTCGAGTGACTCCACCAACGCGTTAGCAGCTCACCACATAGACGACCGCATCATGAAGCTTCCCTTCAACCGAACAGAGAACACCAAGGTGTCTATCCTGACGAGTGTGTGCATCTTAACCCTCCTAGGCTACTTCCTAATTTTGACCATCCTGCATGCCACCTGGTGCTCGTCCATCGCCTACTCCGAGTCAAACATAACCTTTTACAGCCGAAATGAAAAGGGAGAAAGATACATAAATGACGATGTCAGGCAAATGTACAAATGGATTCAACAAAACACAGAAACCGATTCAAGGATAGTGGCTTGGTGGGATTACGGATATCAGTTGAGTGTCATGGCAGATAGAGTGACCTATGCTGATAACAACACCTGGAACACTACACACATCGCCACAGTCGGGTTGATTCTTAGTGTGAATGAAAAACAAGCCTACGATTATGTGAAGAAGCTTGATGTTAATTACGTCCTCGTCTCATATGGGGGATATTCAAAGAACTCTTCAGATGACCTGAACAAATTTCTGTGGATACTAAAAATCACTAACAAGGAATTTAAGCATATAAATCCACTTCTATATTACTACCATGATCAGCATCACCCCCTAGGGAAGAATGCGACCCCATTTATGTCGAATAGTCTCCTATACAGGCTCTCTTACTTTAACGTGTCCAATGGGAAACACAGGGGGTATGACTACATAAGGAAGTTGCAGGTCCCGGAGGTCAAGGGACTACGCTACTTCGAGGAGGTGTTCACATCCGACGTGTGGGGCTTCCGCTTGTACCGGGTTAGGGAAGACGTCTGAGGGGAAGGGGCGACACTATGCTGCAGCAACTCGTCATTTGTCTGGGTACTCCCCCCCCTGGCGCGCTATCCATTGGGGCCCACTCACCCTCTGTGACAACCTCGCGAATTGTCCCCTTTTTTTTTACGTTAACTCCTTCGATTAGAGGGACTTCCTCTGCGGTTCACACCGTGTCCTTTTTCCTTTTCGTGACTCCAAAGTGTATCTGCCACACGAACATAGCATAGGATAAATACCTTGGGGCAGACTTAGCCACAGGGATCAACCCACAGGGGTTTAATTAACTAAACTGTTTTGTAACAACTGCGTTATAGGTTAAAGAGGGGAAGACGTTGCACATAACGTTGCATGTAGAGTGGCACGTAAAGTTGCGCGTCCTTTGGCGAGGAGGACACTGCGAGGCAATAAAAACAAACAGACGTACACAGGTAAAACGGAACGGGAGGAGGCTAGCTGGAAGGGGGGAGAAGGAGAAGAAGCGTAACAATGGTATCCTTTTCGATTCTCTTCCGCTCCACTTCTCCCCCCCTGGAGCTAGGCTTTTCTGTTAAAAAGAAACAATTGACAAGGTGAGGTGGCAATATCCTTACGACTTCAACTGGGGTGTCTGGTTATTCTTGAGCTTATCGATCTTCTCCTCCTCGGGTAGCAGAGGCACGAGGGTGAGGGAGAAGAGGAGGAAGAAGCCGCAAATAAAAATATACAAACTGAGGTTGTCAAAGTTGTAGCTGTCAATTCGTAGGAGGTATGTTAAGAATGAAGAGGTGCCCTTCTTCGTCAGGGAGCCCAAATTCTTAACGCTCAAAATGGTAGCGAAGACACTGGCTTCAAGCCCTGGCTGGCATATATTTGCAGTCAGAATGAAAAGTGGCAACAGTTGTATTTCGGTAATTGCTTCGATTAAGAAGCCTCCACTGAGGACAAACAATTCATTGGAGATCCCAAAATAGGTGTTGATTTTTTCAGTCAATATGATTGGCGAAATGTAGAGGGGGAACGATATCAATGTGGTGAGAATGAGTGTCTTCTTCAAGCCTTGGTTTTTTAAAAACAAGCGGTAAATGATTATCCCGATGAGTGAAGCTATTCCATAGGTGAGTCTTAACGTGCCCATAAAGGACGGTCTGAATCCCAACTTATTCGTGCAGAAGAAGAAGAAGGCATCGTCATAATCCGGTCCAGACATGTACACAAAAATGTAGAGAAATGGTCCCAAGAAAATGGGCGTATTGATAAATTTGATCAAATCCTGTAGCTGAGTGATTATACTCTTCTGAGAGGTGTATTCCTTTTCCTTCAGGAGGAGACAAGATATTGAAATGATCAGAGGGAACATAGACGTTCCGATGAAAATGTATTCCCTTGAGATTTTCTCCAGAAGGTACCCTGAGAAATACGCTACTGAAAGGCTTCCGATCGCTTTGGACGCTATAAACTCTGTCACTTTGTTTGTTCCCTGCGAATAGGTCTTTCCAATGGAACTCTCCACAACCAACGCTTCCGCCACGGTCGTGCAGAATGAGGCACACAGAGAAATGAAAAATAGGATCAGGGTGGCTTGGAAAACGGATAGCTGTAAAAATGCTAAAGCTAGGAAGTTTAGCGATTGGAATAGGCTGAAAAGGAAGAGGTAAGGCTTCCTTCTCATTCCGAAAATAGACACCGAGTCTGTGATCAGCGCTATGACTGGCTTTAAGATGAATGGGATGTAAGGATACATTAATATGAGGGACACCTGGTAGGGTGTCAAACGAAAATGATCCTTAAACAAATAATATATCGCCAGTGATGCCAAGTGGGTCAGGCCATCAGACAGCCCAACCAGGTACACCACTATCTGCGTAAAGTCTACATGGCGTTTTTCCTTCGAATTGAGCAGCGGTAGCTCCTCTCCCTCCGCCTTCCCTCGGTCAACAATCGGGTCAATGCTCAGGAACGGGTTGTTGGACTTCTCTATCATGATATCCACGTTTTCGCCTGGCCCAGCGGCTAAGCAGTGTCTGTGTTGGAGAGGCAGTGTGTTGGTGAAGAGGTGCGCTGGATAAGCAGTGTGTTGGATAAGCTGTGTGTTGGTGAAGAGGTGCGCTGGATAAGCAGTGGGATGGTGAAGAGGTGGCCCATTTCCACGAAGGACCCCTCTCAGGCGTGTCCTTTCGCTTCTTTTTCGTTTTTCCCTTACGGGGGTAGTACCTTTTTTGTGGCGGCTATGTTAGAGGGGGGGGCAGAGGTCTACTTCAGTCCTACGCCGTCTTGTCCACTTGAGTCCTACGCCGTGGTGTCCACTTCACTCCTACTCCGTGTTGTCCACTTCAGCCCTAGGAGGTGCGCTCCACTCCGGTGCAGCCCCAAGCGTCTCCCTCCGTGCTGCACTCGCACCACGTCGCCGCGCGAGGAAAGGAAGGAGCTTTATATCTAAGCCGTTAGAAAGATGACGACCGCGATGAATCACATATGGCATTAACAGGGGTAACAAAAAAAAGAAAGAATAAAATAAAATAAAATAAAAAAAAAAAAAAACAATAACAACAACGGCAACGTATTACCGAGGAGTAACTCAAAGTGGACATGCCCAACTTTACAATTTCGCGCATCTACCCATTGGTGATGTACGATGCAGTTTGTTGCGGCGCCTGAATTTTAACAACACCCACAAAATGCATTTCCACGTGTGTTTCAAGTGAGAAAAATTAAAAAGAAGATGAAAGCGAAATGGAAGCGAAATAAAAGTGGAATAAAAAGGAAAAAAATAGGCGCCCGGTACAAAACAATTTTGCTTTCACGTTTACTGTTGCGATGATGTGTTCGTCAACATTATCGTTGCTACTTCGTTCCGCTTGACGTTATTTTGTGTAATTTTGAATAATTTTGAATAAATTTTAATATTTTTCAATAAAATTGCATATTTTTGTATAATTCTGTATGTTTTTGTATAATTTTTTTTTTTCTCCCCATTTGGCGCATTCGTTAGGGGGCCACCCAAGAAACGTAGGCGTACTGGAGCTATTCCACGGCACGGCTGAGGTGTTGGCGAATACATACACGGGTGCGTAAATGTACACCTGCACTTACACCTACGTATGTGGGAACGCGCATGTGAGTATGCCTGGGAATACCAACGGGAACAGCCACACATGCCCGCGTACACACATTGTGCCAAGGGGAATTCACCCGCGGAGAGGCAAATGGGGGGCAGATATTTTCCGCAGTCACCACATGGACATCGTGTTAGTTCCCACTACCACCCCTGGAATCATGTATGTACATCAAGCGCATCGACCATCAGAGGGATTCGAAGCGCGAATGGATAGACATATGGTTGAGAAGCAAGTACGACGCACGTACGTACGGTTCAATGTATGCGTCTAGTACTGTTGATGGCCTGTTTTTTCACGCGGCTAATTTTGTTCTGGTTAAAAGCGTGGTTGGAACGGTTTTTTATTTATTTTTTTCCTTTTCTTTTCCTTCTTCTTTTCTTTTTTTTTTTTCCTTTTTTTTTTTGTTTTTTTTTTTTTTCTTTTCTATGTCGTGACGTTCATCGGGAGTACTCAAGGGCAATCCTGCACAGGGGGCCTAGCCAGGTTTGCATTCCACACTCGCTTCAACGTGACGGTTTAGGGCTCACACTTAAGATGAAGCATTAGCAATCGATCATTTTAAAGTTATTCCCTCTCAACTCTGGAGACGCTGCGGGGTCAATCACATGTGCCAATTGGGAATGCTCACTGTGTAAGGTAAAACGGCCTGTGTTGTACAAAAAAGGCATTGGCTTGGTAGCCCATCGCATCGAAGCACCACAGGGGAATTTTTCTGCGCTGGGGCTACTTCTTCGGCTTCGTAATGCTCACACGATAGGCGGCCCGCATAGAAAGTTCATACAGTTTAGCAACTTGACCACTTCAGCCACTTGACCACGCTTGCCGCGTTCGATCAGTTTACTCCGCGAGGCAGTGATGAGTGAAGGGGTAGAGTTGCGCGGGGGGAAAGGCACGCGTAGGAACCCGAAAAGGAGTCATAGGCGTTTGGCATCGCCGCGCTGATGAACGGAACCCTGGTAAATGGGCGTTAACCCTACAGAGGATTAAAAAAAAAAATAATAAAATAATCAATCATATATATACGTGAAAAAAAATTCCCAAGGGGAAGGTGAAAAGGGCTGGGTGACCGAAGGAATGCTATAGCTACTAAACCAGAACGCGACCAATTTTTTCTGTTCCCATGAAGCAGGAATTTCAGCATTAGGAAGTACCGAGGTCAAGAGGGTTTAAGCATTCCAAACATGTGACATAAAGTTGTGGCATTAAGTATCATTCCGTGTGACTAGCCCAGCTGGCAAAGTTTTTTTTTTTTTCTTTTTTTTTTGTTTTTCCTGCGTGTCCATCCCCCTGAGCGTCAGCCTAGTCGCTATGTTGCAGAAGGAAAGGCACTCTTGCGGCAAAAATCCGAAGAAGTGATGTTTCCCCTGTTAGGTCGGCTTCGCTTAGGTAGCGGTGTGCACACAGACGTGCCTGTGAGTGATCCGTGAGGAGGCTGCACGAAAAGGCCACGTAAGAAGGGCATGTAAGAAGGCCACATAAGAATCCCACGTGAGAAACCCTCGCAGAAATTTGCGCCCGCATCCCCGCGACACCCAGCTTGATGATGCCATTCAAAGAAGGGACTTCCCCATTAGAGCTGAACAAGAGTTTCGCGAAGTAACCCGAGTGTGTGCCCCCTATCGACAGAACTCGAGTCAGGGAGAGCTGCACGCATGAGATTACAGACCGCTGCGGCGCGACTCGCGGCCACGCCCCCGCGGCGAGAGGAGCAGCCAAAGACGAAGCCCCAACCCAGAGCAGCCCACGCAGATATCTCTCTTAGTGTCTCCCCCAGTCGGTCGCTCCGTCTCTGCCCATTATAGCCCACTATGAACGAAATAAAAATTTCCTACCTAAACTATCCCATATATGGAATAGGATCCAATGATAAGTACGTGGTGACGTCGGGGGGAGGGGGGGGGAAGAGCTATGGAATCGAAGACCTCCTTGACATCAACACGTTTAACGAGAAGGAGAAGAAGCTGCAAATCCTGTGGTCGACGACGGAGCAAAGAGGTGTTGTCGATTCGATTATCTATGATGAGAAATACGACATATGGTTAGGCTCCGTTAGGAACCAGTGTGTCATTTTTCAAATAAATGAAGACACGGGTCCGAACATCATACACAGCTTCGTCACGGACTTTAGTGAGAAGCACTCCAGACAAGTGGTCGTGAAGTTTTCCTCCACCAGTAATTTTATTTTAACAGGAGGGGAGGACAAGACGTTGAAGTTGTGGAAGCTCAGAATTGCAGAGGGGGACGCTAAGGGGGGGACATCGGCAGGAGGAGAAGCGGGAGGGGGAGGAACAGGAGCAACAAGGGGAGAAGCAGGAGGTGGAACAGGATCAGGAACAGACGGAGCAGCAACCGCAAAACCCGCAACGGGAGCAGCCACCGCAGGAAGGGTGCCCATCGGGAAGGACAGAAATTTCTTCATCGACACGACCAGCAGCATAGTGGAGCACATAGGAGACTTCAAAGGACACGAAGAATGCATCAAAGATTGCGACATAGCAGAAGACGAAAAAATCGTATGCACTTGTTCGTCAGACAATTCACTTAAAATATGGGATACACACACGTTTGTAAATCTCCACACAGAACAAATGATTAATCCGAAACAGAAAAGTGATAAGTTAAACTTCCGATGCTGCAAATTTTTGAGAAATACAAAAAGGAAGGATCATTTTGTTTATACCCTGTTAACGACTGCCTATACATCGAGAGGCAATAGCTACCTCATCATCTGGAATGTCCTATTTGATGACAAGAAGGAGAAATTTAGCTGCACAAAGGAGAAGTTTATTTGGTTGGATGACAGACCATGCTGCAATATCGCCATAAGTCAGAATGAGAAGTTTCTTGCCCTAGGCTTCAGCACAGGTGCCCTAAAGATATACAATAGTAGGTATTCCCTCTTAGCGCATTACAAGAAGCATGAGCTTCCCATCACAGCTATGTGCTTCATCAAAAATGATAGCTTCTTACTTTCCGCTGGGGCTGACTATAGCATAAGTTGCGTTCACATTAATTCATTTAGCTTCCGTTACTTGAGGAAGGCCTGGAAGGTTCTCCTCATATTGATGATAATAACGATTGTGTGCATAATTATGCTCGATTTTTTTAACGTTGGTTATGACCTGCGCATGAGGGATATCATTGAGAGCAAGGCAGGAGGGGCCAAGACAAAGAGGAATGGCCCCAAGCCATCCCGCGGTCCGCCCGCTTCCTCCGATGAGCTGTGAAGGGGGGAAATTCTACCAGGGAGCCGCGCCACCAAATGTGTACGTCCTCGCTGTGTGCCAGAGTGACGAGAATCAAGTCGACACCGCCTCTTCCTCCGCGATGGGGTTGGCGTGTATCGTTACGGACTCTATAAGGATGTCCTTCACGGGCCTGTTCTTTTCCCCAACGGGTTCTGCGAAATGATTGGCGTGAGGGGGAAAGGCGGCAGGATAAATGACGGTGAAACGGGGAGGCAGCAGAACGAGAAAGCGGCTACACGGGGAGGCAGTGGGACGGTTAAAGTGACAAAACACGCCAGGAAAACACTTGTACCATTTTCCAGAACGGACAGGACATCCATCCCATCAATGACCCTACAAGTTGAGTAGGAAAAAAAAAGAAGGTGGTGCAAGTTAGCGGCTGCCTTTACCCCAGCAAAGGGGTTTCTTTCCGAAGTGTGCGCGTCAGCCACGTTGCGCGCATTCTGCATTTGACTGCGTCGGAGTCAATACAACTCCTTCTAATTGGATCTGACTCCATGTGGATGCCCCCCTA